CGAGTTGTAGTCGTTTGAATTCGACTCATCAAATGGCCATCTAGCGGCAACTTTGGCAGTGACTTTTGGCCAAACTATGGGTCGGAGGTGACTGCGCGACCCCTCTTTCCACTTCCCTAGGGACCCCCTACAACAATTACTTTTCCGATTTCGAATCCCAGACGGTCGATTTTTCATCCCCTACTACCTTAATAGACGTTCTGGTTCTCTCTGGAATCGATAATTCACTTTTCTTCATCTGGATTATCGGGCAAATAATGATTGCTTCTCGATTCACTTCGTCGGTCCCTCACCCAAATTATACTTAAGGTGAAAGAATAGGAAGCGTTGTAAAATCACTCACTACACCAGTAACGCACATTATTGGCATCATCATGGACCCTTATTGATGTATTGACAAAAGTTAGTAAATTGGTTTACCATATGTAAAATGGGGACATTTTTCGGCGGCATACCCTGATTGAGCGACACCACAAGTAACTTACTTGGTCTGCTCTGACGAATGCGATTCTCGCGCGAAAATCGGCGACCGTTGGAGGCTCCACGTTTGAACCCGTTGGGGGGGGATGGGATGGGAGGATGGCTCCTTGCTTCCCAGACGGGTCGCCGCCGCTTCACTGTTGTCGCGCCGTGGTTTCCTCCGTCTGCTGTCGTTTTTGGGCAGTGCTTATTGATGGGCCTTGACATGATGAAGGGTGATGATCGAAGGCAGGAATGACGTGAATGAAATAAGGATCTATCAAAATCCATTTCTCCTTATACGGGAAGCAGGTTTTAAGAGAAAGAGAACGAAAGAAAAAGTTTGAATTGGAAAATGGAGGAACGGCTAGAGGACGTCTTTTCGTAGCGGCTCTGCTGAGGCCTCCAGCATCCGATGACGTCATTTTAAGGTTCAGCTACTCGGCGTTCTCGTAGATCGCTAAGTTCTGCTGACAGCCGCTTGCCCAGTTGTGACGTCATTAAATGACGTGGTCGTGCCTAGGCATCGCGTCTTTTTCGCCAGCGGCTGGAGGAAAAGACAACCCCCCCCCCTCCCCCCTCCCCCGGGAGAAATGAAGTATGACGATGATGACACCAATATAGATTTCGTTACACTACAAGACCCCTTTTTTCAGTTTTCATGTGACCATTTCACGCAAATCATTGAGCACAAAATCTCATTAAAAATTAACCGGAATAAAAATCTGGTTGCAAGCGATTATCAGCGATTAACCGGAGGCCGATAAGAACTCAATAATTTCCCAGGTTCATGAGGACTTAAAAAAATATATATATTTTTTTTTCCTTTCCGCATATGAGTTCTAGGTGTCTGGCCGCGTGCGCGATAAACATTTCTCTTTAATGCTTCCATATGAATCCCCCAGACATAATGAAGTACATTACATTTGAAGTGATCTGCTTTTCTATGGAAATGATTCTAAAGGTATTATTACCATAGAGATGGGCAGAAGTTCATTTCACTTCCTGTGTGTGGATATTCTAAATAACATCAGAAAAATAGACTTCCCGCTCAGTTAAAAACAGTTGAAAAATAATAATATTCGGAGTAATCTATGGGTGAGAGGTCTCTCCTTGGCGGTTCTGGATAGGATTCAGCTGTCACAGACGGGATTTAGCTCGTTTTGCATACGTTACGAATAAATTAATGCATCTTAGAAATTTCCTACGTAAGTTCGAGGCACCTAATGGACTTTTCAAAGGAGAAAGTATATGGGAAAGTGCATAAGTGCATACTCCAGATAATTTTAGAGAGGCCGATCCTCCCCTAGGAATCGCCACTGATCCTAAATTGTTCTCACACCTTAATAACTTTCAATTTCTTCCTACACGGGAAATATGAATTAAATTGGCGTAGGAGGTCATCGGAAAAGACCTCAGTTGCCTTGAAGCAGGTGCATGGAGGGTGCTGATGCCTCTCGAAGCGAGCATAATAGCAATCAGTTACATCTGTGGTGTAGGGAAACTACTAATAATTGGGAATGCAATGAATAGATGTCGCCCGAATCCAGGAGACTACGAGGCCCTGGGGCACTATATACACCGTGATTAATATTAATAAAATCGGGACCCCCTAAATATTTCATCAGAACTCTTGGAGATGCGTCTCCTATGATGGGGCCCTTTGGGAACAGGATATTGCTCCCCCATAACCGCCATAACCTCCCCCATAACCATCATAACCTCTCCCATAGCGCTCTTCGATCGGTCAAGTATTTCAGATTAGATGTTCCTAGTTCTAATAGAGACATCTTCGAAAGTGATGGGTTCTCCGGTGCGGTGGGAAATGAGTCCATTGCGGATAGGAAGGCGCTTGCAAGTACTACCTGGGACTTCTTACTTGTCCCAAGGGGATATCTCTGGGATGTCTTAGGAATATACTTGTGCCGTGTGGGCTTCGTTCACAACGGCCGCGCCTTCTACCGTCTTAGGCGGAAGTCATCCTTCGCAATGACTCACCCAAATATAGACACATATGAACGCTAGATCCGCATGATTCAAGGAATATTCAAGGGAGACACCAATCACTCACATGGACTCGACGATGGACGGACGACAGGTCGGTTAAACGGTAAGGACCAACGATTACGATTTTTTTAACGAGCTCTTGTAACCTTTCCGCCTTTAATATGGCGACACTCAAATCCACTCTTGATGGCTCGAGTGCGAGAGAGATGAAGAAAGCACTGTAAAAAATAATAATACTACTAAGCAATTAAAGAAATAAATTCGTAGGGAAGTGATATTGGATCTTGAAAATAATTTATTCCAGAGAGGGGGAATTAGTTGCGACTGAATCTCATTTCCAGCCATGGGAATTTCATTAATGGGACCTACGCTCATTGCTCCGAGCTCTCCCCCCCCCCCCCTCATGAGATATCGTGAGGTTGCGTGACCCTCTCGTGAAACTTGTGAGGTTCCTCAGGTCTTAGATCTAGGGGTAAAAAGTGAATCGTCTGCGATTTTCGGGTGACAAACGATCAGGGGTCGCAAAACTCGTTTTGATATACGGAGTCGAGGGGAAACTCGGAGCCGTTCTCCGTAGGAGGGGAAGGAACTTGGGACTGCTTCATAGACGGTGAACTTCTTCGTAAACTTTCTTCGTGATCTCGTATCCACTCGAACCCAACAACAACCCGCAGTATCGTAATATCTGTTCGACCGACGTTGGCACCGTTTTCACGTGAACTGCGGTAGAGGTCGGAGGATAGAAGGGCGAGTGCCAGGGAGGTTACCAGCTGTTAAAGGTCCACGCCAAACGACGGTATCCCGGAATGAGGTCAAGCCGGACCGTCGAAGAAGGGGTTATTGCGGCCGTACGCAATAGGGGCACGGTCGAGCATATTTTCGAGTCGGGTTGGGAAGCATGCACTACTTTACCTCTTCGCAAGTTACTTTTCTAAAAATATTGACGCTTTCAGAGTCGTTCGCACATCGTGCTGGGTGAGAGGCGGAGGCGAGTCCAGCAATTTCGATGGGAATCGGGAGGATTTTTCTCTCTCGAATTCCGGGAATTCGAGAAAGGACCATTCCCGCGATGAGGCCTTTTTTTTCCCGTCAGCAGCTGTATAACGGACCGACGGAATCGACAGAAAATTTCCATCATCCGCGATTCGTCGATTGGAGAAAAAAAAATACGAGGTGCATTTTTGCATCGAATTCGGTGAAGTCATAGGGCCATTTTTTCTTTTCGGCCGACGACAGTCTACGTTTTCATTTAGAGAGAGAGAATCGGGATCCCGTTTCCCACCCTCGGGGCGAAGCAGCGAAAACCTGTCAGTGCCTTGAAGCCCCACGCCCCATTCAGACCTTTGCTTCCCTCGTGACGACACGGAGCTCGAAACGTTTCTGGTCGTACGGACTCCCCCATGTTTCAGAGGACGAAAATGTGTCGCGAAGTAATGGGAACGCGGTCCCGTCAGATGTGAGTGCGGTTCGTTCTTCGTTGTGACTTCTCTTCGCGTCCAGCTTTTCCTGCTTGGAGCGACGGACGACATTCGGGTTCTCGTGATGGGCCTGTGTTACGACTCGACTCGATGCTTGAAATTCGTGAAAATGGATCCGACGTCACGAGAGCTCGGAAGATCGAGTGTTCCCTTGTGCGAATCCCGGAGCCGACAGCGAGTCCAGAAACGCGTCTTCCATTCCTCGATCCAGGGGTCGATCTCGTGTTTCGAGCGAGACAGAGTCGAGTACGTCATTTTAGGGAAATCGGTCGAGAACCGTGCAGGAGCGAGAAGCCCATCGCACGGAATGGACCGACTGCTGATGATTATATGGGTGCAGTTAATTACGATCCGACTCCCAACATTATGGTACCGGCGAGATCCGTAATGAAATGCGCGACGGTTCGACGGGAACGAGAACACATTGCACAAGGTGCATTTAATGTGCATTTTTTAATGTTAACCCCCCCCCCCCTCATTAGGGTGGGTAATCAGTGTTTCATATGGCGCCCCCCCCCCCCCCCCATTCGGATTTCCTCGGCACGCCACTGTAGTCATTTAAGAGAAAATATGTAATTCTGGATCGCACAAGAGTTTGTGTTGGTCACAGAGCCGCTTTCCTCACCTTTTCTTCTATTTTGGCACGATCCTTTGAAAACGTGGATAGCGTAAAGGGAGCGATGCCGAATTGCCTTTCCTCACGTCTACTTTATTAATTTTTTTCCTGTCGGAATGGACTTCTTCCACCACTTTAATTTTTTTTGTTGTTGACAAAAACTGCAGGCCGTTTCTCATCGATGAGGTTCCTGCCGGCTACTATGCAAAATCTCCTTGCGCTAGCACTTTTTATGCCACAAGCGTGGGAAACGGAGAATTCCGACTCTCTTGAGGTCCAAAGGGAAAGGGGGGACTGTCACGAAACCACAGACTATCGTCTCTTAGTAAACAATGTTTTTCCGTTTTAACGAGTGACTACAAGGACTGGTTAAAAGCGTTCGTTGTACTGAATTATTCGTAGTGACGAATTTCGTTGCAAGGAGATCTTCAAAGTACTATCACTCTAGGCCAGGGGCCGGGAACCTGTGGGTCATGTGACAAATTTGGCTCACGAGCAGAAAAGTTTGGCTCGTGAGTCGTGACTAAAAATCATGATCGTTCCTCATATTTCTCACGTATCAAAGAATGCACATGTCTGTTGCCAGCATCAGGAAAAAATTATGTTGTTTTGAAAATCTTTGGCTCACGAGCACTTACCTCGATCTTAATATGGCTCACATGGCCAAAAAAGGTTCCTGACCCCTGCTCTAGGGAATCTAGGGGTCGGGGCTGGGAAATATTTTCGTTATCGTCAGATTCTCCTCGCAATGTCGTAACGGAGTTCCTTGTAACGAGATTTGAACCGTATGAAAAAGTATCCTGCTGGTTATCGGGTCCTCCGTTCGAATGTTTTTACTCTCGCAGGTGGGGGAGGATGGGATTCATCCCCCTCGTACGGATCCCCCCATCGACAGGATCCGGAACTCAAGAGAGAGGAGAGAAATCTTCGAGAGGGCTCGAGGGTCGGGCGCCTGCCCGACATCCAGCGACGTCCAGCCACCAGACATCCGGCGATATCCGACCACCGGACATCCATCCGGACTTGGTGTTTCTCCGTGCGTGCCTCGAGGGGGATGGCCGAGATCGGGGGACGCGGAGGTTCTCCGGGACTCCGTTTCCGCATTCTTCCTGCGTCCGGGTGGAGACTCGCAGGCGACGGGTCGCTGCGTCGTCTTGGAAGATGACGTCAGTCTGCAGGAAGAATCTGCTGCCGTTCTTGCGGGTTCGAGTCGGTCCGTCGCTTGAAACGTGCGATGCTCTCCCGGACGGGATACCCGCGAGTGCCGGATGCCTCGCCGGACTGGGAGACCAAGGTTGCCAACGGAGAGCGTGGCCGAGCGTGAGCCTGTCACTCGTCGCCCATCCATCTTTGTCTTTGGGTAGATTAGCAGCTCCTAATGTCCCTCCTCCTTCACCCCTCCCCTATACGGGGACGGGTGAAGGGGGAGGGGCATTAGGCCGACCTGTCCCAAGCCGATATGACCGGACGTGGTCGTTCCGATCGAGTTCTGTCGGGTCGGGTGATGAGGGGCCAACGCGAGACGTTTACGGCAGTGCTTGCGAATGTGAACCGTACCGACATCGGCAAGCTTATGCGAATCTCGTCGAGCGGCAAACCTCTCCGGTGACGTTGGCGTCATCTCGTTACACGATCCAGTTCACCGAGACGGACGGAGACGGCAGGATCGAATACGTAGGAATGCATTTCTTCTCATAACGAATTCTACGCCATTCTTTTGACCCAAAACAGGGAGGAGGCGGCTCACTCGCCATGTGCGTGGCTTAATTAGAGACAGATTGAATGGCTGATGCAATATCGTCTGCTTTTGTAAATTTTTTGCTTTACAAACAAACAAAATGAAATTGCCAAAGGAAAGTTTACCCGGAGCGAAGAGCAGCTATTCCATCAGCCACTGCTGAAATAGCATCTTTCCATAATGTGACGAGCCCCGGGAAAACCCAAGGCAACCATTGGCAACTGAACGTTTCGGTTCATGATGCGCTGGTCCCCGTCGCTAAGGCAGGCGCCGCTCTGGCAAACACGCTTTCTTAAGCGATGTTAGTGACAAGAGGCTGGTGTCCTATCATCGAGAGATCTGAGGGCGTCGCTGAGGGCGGTTGTTGGGGGAGTCGGCTCGGAACTCTCCCTGTCGTCAAGCAGCCTTCGATTCCGGAAGTCCTTACCCTCTAACCTTGCCAATCAGCAGCCTCGGGCCGAGAGCAGAGAATGCGCAAGGCACCCTCTTCCGCCTCAAGCGATTTACTGGTTTCTCCCCTTCAGTCTTCTTCCATCAACCGTTGCATCTCCAGCCTGTAAGTCAACGCTCCACTATTATTTTCTTCGTGCGTTTAACAGTATTGGATATGTACTAAGGGTTTATGAATTTTCGTCGTCTTAGAGTATCCGGACAGAGAGGGGGGGCGAAACGAAGAAGAGGACGCTACAGAGGACCACAGACCTGCACCGCACTGCTCCGATCTCAAAGATCTCCAGGAACTAAGTTTTATATCCTTTTGAAAGTCCTTTTGTATTGAGGAATTTGTGATGTGCTGTATTTGTATTTTTAATTTAAAAATATTTCATGTCCAGTATGTGCAGTATGTGCCTCAGTAAAAATTTTGCTTAATTAACGTTAATTTCAAATAAGATAAGTTCAGCTGTGCCTCTGTTCCCATTTAGGTAAATGTTATAGGAATTTATTTCTTGTCCTCTGCTTTCTGTCTATGATTTTAATTTCATGTTTAATTTCAAATAAGATACGTTAAATTGTGCCTCTGTTCCCATTTAGGTTAATGTTTTAATTAACTTATTTCTTGTCTTCTAGTTAATGTGAACACTTTATTGCATTTTTTGTGTTTTGTGTTAATCATCCTTCTTTCCCAATCCATCCTTCTTTAGCACAATGCATGTTCTCTTTGTTTTTGTTTCCATTTATTCACTAATTTTGTTTTCAGTTTTAAGTTTCTAGTAGGATCAAGCGATGGAGACAGCCGGGCCCGGAGGACTCATCAAAGAAGACATCCCCAGCCTCCAGGAAAGTTCTACAGTAACTTACCCTCCTTTTTTTCCCCTTTCTTTTGCATTTCATTATTTGCCTTTTTGATTGTATGTATTGTTTCACTGTATTCGTGATGTTGAACTAATTCTTGTTTGAGTTTTAAGTTTCTAGTAGGATCAAGCGATGGAGACAGCCGGGCCCGGAGGACTCATCAAAGAAGACATCCCCAGCCTCCAGGAAAGTTCTACAGTAACTTACCCTCCTTTTTTTCCCCTTTCTTTTGCATTTCATTATTTGCCTTTTTGATTGTATGTATTGTTTCACTGTATTCGTGATGTTGAACTAATTCTTGTTTGAGTTTTAAGTTTCTAGTAGGATCAAGCGATGGAGACAGCCGGGCCCGGAGGACTCATCAAAGAAGACATCCCCAGCCTCCAGGAAAGTTCTACAGTAACTTACCCTCCTTTTTTTCCC